GTTTCGAACTGCTGACCTTGTGGTTCGCAGCCCGATTCGTAACCACTACGCTACCAGAGCAGCTCAGGTTAGGTTCTTTTATCCTCACTGTGAGTGAGGAGGTCCCTGAGTAGTAGGAACAGAGTATACTGAACTCAGCTGCTATCCCAAAGGTTACATGTTCAAATTCACTCAGAGATGCCTTGGAACAAAGGCCTGGTGATTTATTTCTTTAAAAATTAGCCATGGAAATCCCTATTGGAGCACAGTTCTACTTTGACACACATGGGCTTGCTGTAAGTCAGTGTCTACTCAATGGTAACTGATTTGGTTTTACTGGTTTTCTTGTAGCCATCATTATCTCCAAAGATGGAAACCAGAAACCCAAAGTCTTACCACTGGTGAATGGCAAAAACCCAGTCTCCCAACTCCAGACAGTGCCATTTCCACCACGGTCATGCTTACCTCCCTCTCCAAGAGGCACAGAAGCACCTCTGTAGCCAGGAGGGCTAGATTAGACCCCCACTCAAAAGTGCTCCCTATTTCCCCACCGCTGGACAGTCCCCATTGCCCTGGCTTCAAACTGAAGGGGAGGAGTTGATAAAATGGATCTGAGAAAAGAGGAGATCCTCATGGTCAGACTTCTGAAAGGAAAAGAGAGGCAACCCAGGGCAGACCCTGCATCCCAAGGTGCCATACACACAGGCTGCTCCTTACTTGGTGCCACAGATTGTCTCTGCCACACCCTTCGTGTGCTAATGCCCCCTCTGTGCAAGGGGTCTATCAAGGTTGCGTCCTGGTTAAGCAATGGTAGTAGGTTGGGGTGCTGGGTCCCCAGGAGGGGAGAAGGGGGCTAAGAGAGAAAAAAAAACCCTTGTCTCCTCCTCAAGTTCTATACTCAAGCAGGCAAAGGGGTGGGTGAGGTGAGGCAAGGGATGGAAGAGGGCTGCTTCCCCGGTTGCTTTTTCTCTCCTTCATCCTCACTGCTTCATACCTGTCCCAACAGAGATGCAGTAATGCCCAAACTTTGATGCAAGTGCCCCTTGCTAATGAGGTACATCCTCGGCTGAGATGGCAAAAGTTCCTTTTAAGAAGTTACAAGGTGAGGGGCAGAGGACAGTAGAGGTGGTGGAAAGGTGCTACCTTGGTAGCTGCTCTTTTCCACACACTGGCTCCAGGTTGCAAACACTGGTGGAGAAGGAGAGGTTATTTGAAGGGTGACAAGGCTGGAGATTGGGGACCCACTGTCACCCACCCCAGCCCATTCCTGTGATGTCTAGGAAATCTAAGTCTCCACATAGCTTCTCCAAGAACTCCAGAGACACCAGGCTATAGGCTTCCTTTCTCCTCAGTGCTTGTTACACACCTTGCACTTTTACAAGCATTGTGTATATTCGAACTCCGTTAATCCTCAAAAAAGTTAAATAGAGTACATATTATCATTCTCAGTCTACAAATAGGCAACGACGGAGAGGTTAAATCTCTTGCCCAAGGCTACACAGTCGGCAAACTGTACAGTTAGTATTCAAACTCAGGCAGTTTTGCTGTTAAGTGCTGTTGGGGCAGTCTGTTGTTATGTGCAGTGGAGTCGGTTCCGACTCATAGCAACCCTGTACAGTTTCCGAGGCTGTAAATCTTTACAGGAGCAGAAAGCCTCATCTTTCTCTCGCGAAACAGCTGGTAGTTTCAAACTGCTGACCTTAAGGTTCACAGCCCAATTCATAACCACTAGCACACAAAAGAATCCCTGCTCTTCACCATGACACCGCATCATATAGGTTGTTTTTTCATCCAACTACGTGTTCCTTGTGGCCAAGTCTCAGGTTTCCCTTTGGGCCCATGGATTCCTTATAATCTTTATCAGTGCCTCCTCATCCAAGTGGGTCAGGGTTAGAGGAGAGCATGGCCAGACATGCTTGATGCCCCCTAAATTCGGGGTCTCCTGCCCCAATACCCCCTGCTTAAATTCCCTCTCTGGAAGTTACCCTTCCTGCCCATTCTGGGCTGATGCCTGCATTCGTGGGTGAGTGGACCTCATTCAGCCCCTCACATGGTTTGGGCAGCTGTAGCTTTAGAATCAGGCCCTGAGGCTGGGCAAAGAGAACACAGCTGTTGGGCATCTTTGAGGTGGGTCTCAGCTGCCAGGGGTGTGGAGAAAGCTCAGCGGGGTCATGCCAACTCCCACTGTTCATGGAGATCATTATTTTCTAGTTTGGGTCCGCACGGCATGGGAGGAGCCTCCTTATTGGATGATCTGGGAGCTAGCTAGCTGCTGTCTCCATACCAAGGGTTTCCACAGAGCTGGTGTCCCCTAGCTGAGCCCCCAGCTTGGGGGGTCAGCATGGGCAGTAGCTGACTTCTCTTCTTCCCCATTCCCAGCCCCTCAAACTGGCCGGCCACAGCTGCAGCAGTAAGGAAGCGCAGGATGTCCTGAGCAGCCAGCTGAGCCCCCCACCCCCCACCCCAACCTCTTATTGACCCCAGAGGCAGGGCAGGCGGGGCGCAGGGGCGGAGTTTGTGTATTCAGGACTGGAAAAATATGAAGAACATCACCACCAGTTCCCAGCTCTGAGAGAGAAGGCTGTGGCAGAAACAGAGACAAGGACGACTGGGTAGTGACAGGGTGAGAGAGAGTTCCAGACAGACTGTCAGAGAAAGACAGAGAGAGGCGGAATCAGACATGGCAAGACAGAGCAACACAGAGAGAGACAGAGTTAGAAATTCCAAGTCAAAAATACACATCACTCACCCAGACACTCACCAGCATAAGGCCTCCTAAGGAAAGCTTCCAAGTTTGGATAGGAAGGCTGAGGTGGGAAAAGGGGTCCCATTCACAGTGGGAGGCAGGAATTCAGCTGGGGACAATGAGCATCCCCAGGAAAGGCCCAGGCAAATAACCTATAGCAGCTAGATCCCCCAGTTTGCTTTTAGGGTGGGGACGAGGGCCACTCCCTAGGAGCCAGCTCTCCCCGAAACCCCCTCCCCCAGCAATCAGGACAATCCCAGCTGCTGGAAGTCACTGGGCCCTGCTTCAGGCCTAAGACTCAGCCCTGGCCCTCTGGAAACCCCCTGCCCCCTCTCTCTTAGCTCTCTTTTCTCAATCCCTCTAAAAAAGAGAGAGAGGACCCATTTCCATAAGACTGGATGGCTGATCCTAGAGGAAGAAGAGAAAAAGACATAGGAGGAAGCTTGAGGGGAAAAAAGTCTGTGATTGTGTGTCCATCTAGGTATATGTCTGACTGACTGCGTGTGCATCTGGACTTGTCTGAATACAGCTGGACACAGCTGGCCTTGTGAATATGATTGGTACCTGAGTCGAAAGAACTGTATGCACCTGTGTTCACAGTTCCAACACACATTTGTGGGACTTCTTGGGCTAGGTTATGGGTGGGATCCAGAGCTGCTCAAGTGATTCTCCCAGATCTCAAGGAGCTAGTAAGTGCTCTGACTAGTGATAGAGACTGAAGATTGTGTTACCCTGAATGCCTGCCTGGTACATTATGTAGGAAAGTCTTTTAATTTTCTTAGGAAGAGGGGTTTTGTTGTCTATAGAACCTCAGAGCCTCACAGCAAGAAGCCAGGAGAATACTTGTTACTAAGTTGTGTATACATGTGTTGATGTGTAATGGTGGTGTTTCTATTTGACTGAGTGACAGCAACTGTCACGGCAGGAGATGATGTCTGTGTGACTGGGCTCATGCGTTCGAGCACGTGTGTGCTTGTGAGTGACAGGTCTTTTGTAATTGTGTGGCTGTGTGCAATTGCTCTGTGTGCATGCATGCGTGTGATAGTGACTTTTTCTGTGTGGGTTACAGTGACTCCTCCTTGCCCGTGTGTGGCAGCATCTCCGTGTGACCCTGTGCGTGGGTATCCTTGTGGGTTGTTCTCCCTGCACTTGGTCTCCGTGGGTGTGTCCTGCCCCTTAAGAGCTCCACAGTGCAGCCCACAGTGCAGCGGCAGGCTGCCTCGTCCCTTGTCCCCATGTGGGTGTGTCCAGTAGCTCCTGTCCTTGAGTCAGCCTGGGTGTCCCTGGGTGTGCATGTGGCTGTCTGTGTAGGCATATCTCTGTGCCTGCATGTCACATTCACTATTCCTCCCCCCCTACATCCAGGACAACAGCCCCCTTCATTCTCTCCCTCTCCAGCCAACACTGGCCCCTACCTCATCCCTGGAGCAGGTGGCTCTCTCTTTTGACCCTGTCATACATGTCCCCCCCCCCCCCCCCAGCTTCTCTTCCACAGCAGACAAGGGAGGGCTCTGGACGGAGGAGACGGGCCACTAGAGACACGTTGCAAGGAGGGGAAAACAAGGAGGGGGGGGGTCACACACAACATAGGTCCTTTCCTCCCTCTCTTCTCCAGCTATCCCAACCTGCAACTCCTAATTTCCTAGAGACCCTCAAGCAAAACCACCACCACCCCCTTTCCCTGGTAGCCGCGTTTTTGCAATTAGGAGTGTTGCAACCAAAGAACCATGCTTAACAGAAGAGGCAGGCGGGTAAAATGGGAGGGGGAACTTCCCTCTCTCCCGGTTCATGCAAGCCCACCCCTCCCACCGCACTCCCACTGCCCTTCGCAGCGGGAAGCAGCTTTGCAAAGGCCACTCGGCCTCCGAAGCTAGGGGTGGGGGCTGGGGGGGGCAGGCCTCCGGCGCACTGTAAACAAACCGCGGCGGCGGGCGGGGGAGCTCGGCCGGCCCGCAGCGGGTCCCGGCCCGGGAATGCGCAGCAGACTAGCCGGACACAGGCCGGGCGGGCCCTCGAAGGGGAGGCCCTGACGCCATCTCCACCAGCGAACCCCGAGGCCCATCGACCTCCTAGCAACACCTCGTTCCCCTGGGCGTAAGTTGCAAGCGCCAGGGCTGTGACAGGGTCATAGGGGTGCCAGGAAAGGTGGAGACTAGCAGCCGGACCCCCTGGGCGCCCCCAGCCCGCGGGGGAGCAAGCCTTAGAGCCCCGCGGCTTTGCATAATCAATCGCAATACATTTGCATATTAATGCCCCCTCGCTCCCTCCCCCTTACCTCGGCGTGGCGCGCTGGACCCGGCTGGGCAGCGACACGGGGGTCTCAGCGCCCCGAGCCGGGGGCGTCCATGGGGGGCCGGTGGGGCCCGGCCGCCCGCCTCCTGCGCCCGGGTGTGAGTGCGAGTGAGCGCGGGGGGGCGGGGGGCGAGTGTGGCGGCCCCGCGGCTCCTCCAGCAGAGGCGGCGGCCGCTCTAGCTCCTCCCTCCCCCGCCCCGCTCCAGCAGGGGCTCGGGCTCAGGCTCAGCGCGCCGGGCCGGCTCGCGGCTGCTCCCTGCCGGCCGCCGCGCTGCCGCCGGCCCCCGCCTCCCGCCCCCCGCCTCGCCCCGGGACCTGGGCCAGCGCTCTGCCGCCCCTAGGCCTCCTCGGCCCCCGTCCGCTCAAATGCGCCCTCCCCACACCAGGCGGTTCCTGCAGGAGTGGTACTTGATGACATATTTTGGAAAAGATGCCATTTACAACATCTCCTAGACTTGGGGAGTTTGGAGGTTTATGGGTTGCATCATGGGGCGAAGTTGCATGGAGGGGGTACCAAAGAACCTCCTGTACCTTATAAACCGAGGAGAAAGTCTAAATACCAAACGCTTGGCGGTTTAGAGTTTGTTTCGGAGTTCGGTTCCCTTCTCTGCTAGTACCTCACTGTGACCTTGAGCACATCACCACCGCTTTCAAGGCTCAGCTTCCTCAACCTCAAAGGAGAGGGTTGGGCAGGTGATCCATGAGGTTGTATTAATTTTACTCCTCCCCTTAGGGATTATTGGCACATCCCCCATTGCCTCCATCCCCTCTCTTTTCGAACATTACCAATCAGCCCCTTCCCCTTTGAAATGTCACCTTTCTCCAATAGAGCGCTTGAATCTCACTCTCCCCAGCCTTTTCATCATCAATCTGTCTCTCCCCATTTCCGCCCCCCTACCCCCCCTACCCGTTACTGAACTTAGGGAGGGGGTAATACTTTTATTCCTCTTCAACTCCCAGTTTGACAGAGGTGGTATTTTCTTTTGTCTGCCCCTAAAATCCAATGCTACCGGGGCCATTCTAAGGAGTAGGACAGGCTGTATAAAATGGACCCCCTTTTCCACAGGGGAAGTCTCCATAGTGCACCCCCCCCATGCACACACAACACACACACCTGCATTCATGGACATAAAACCACCCCAGTGACGCCAGAGCCCCTTTCATCTCAGGATCTCCCAGCGCCAGGCAGAGCTTTAATTACCCCAGCACCCCCCCTGGCCGCGCCGGTTCCCCCGCTGTCATTAGCCCAGTTTTACCAGCGGGGGCCACAACCTTCCCACGGCTCCTAGGGTGGGGCCCTGTCTTGCAGTCTGCTTTTGTGGAGGTGTGTGTGTGTGTGTGTGTGTCACGGGGAGCTGCTCTGTTCATTGCCCCATTGGTGCTGGGCAGAATCACTTGCTAAGTATGGGATTCTGACCTGCTTTGGAAGGATTCTATAGCCTAGACCATCTTCATCTCAAGTCACCTGCATCCTCAGCACCATTTAGGCCACATCCCTTTTAAGGGATCCTGGAGTTCACAATTCATGGGAGAGAGGAGGGTGCCTCTCTCAGGGTCCCTGGGACCACGGGCATGAGAAGGCCAGCTGGGATGGCACCCGTTGGGTGCAGAGTGGATAGTGGTGATGAGTGCTGTGTGGTAGATGCGGGGAGCATGCAGTGGCAGATGTAGAATGCGGAATCAGCACACAGTGAGTGGACCTGTGGGTTCAGTCTGGGCTCACAGTGGACACACAACAGCTGCAGTGTGGGGCCGGAGGCTGCAACTTGCCGAGTCAGCATGAAGTGAGATTGCAGTGTGCAGTGCTCGATGCACTGAGGGTGGCTAGCTGCCAGTCGCTGCCACCTTGGTGATCAGGTTTGGCTGAAACCCTGAGGGATAAGGCTACAAGGAGCAGCACTCAGGGTGTATGCCCCACCCTGGATGGAAATCAGCCTTTAGGACTGGACTTCTGAGGATTTGGGAGAGAACCCCATCTCATGAGATACACTAGCAGAACCAGGAAATGATGGAGAGATCCCAGGAGTATCTGGATTGGGGCAGGGGTGGTGGGGTCCAGAGGGAGAAGATAAAGGTACAATGGTTTGGTCTCCCCTCTATCCTGATTGTCCCTACCAAGTCCCTAAGATTCTGGGTGGGAAAAACTTTTAAACCTAGAGCCATGTAATAGAAAGGGCCATTCCTCCTGATTTATCTCCCTTTCATATCTCAGGGCAGAGTGGGGCACCTTGAACTCAAAGACGAGTGTTCCCTTTCCAGCTTCTTACCGCTCTCCTCTTTGGTTACCAATATGGGTTGGTGACAGACCTGAGCAAGGGCAAAAGTGAAGGGCATACTGACTCCAAAGCAGATATCTTGCCAGGTGCTAGGATCCAGGCCAGTCCAGGCCTGGCCTTACAATCCTGGCCCCTGTGTTGTTCTATCCTTCTTCCCACCCCATTCATTCTGTCTACCCCCTTTTCTTGAAACTTCCAGCTCATCTTAGATTCAATTCATCCCCAGCTCACCTTCTTCTTGACTATGAACCCCCCTGCACCTGAGCTACAGCGGCAGTCTCCCCTCCCACCTCTGCTTCACAGCAAGCCCTGAGTCTGTAGGGAGAGGGGGAGGGTGGGTCACAAGTGAGGATGGATAAGAACCCTCCAAGGGGATTTGTCTGGCAGCCCCCTGCCTCTTAGATTTTGGTTGCCAAGGCGGCAGCAGGAACAGCATGTTCTCTGGGCTCTCATCAGAGCAGCCATACTCAGCCCCCTCCTGCTCTCTCTTTCCTTCCTTCCTCCTTTTCTCCCAGACTGTTGCTAAGGAAGCACCCCAAGATTTCTCGAGGATCCTACCCCTAGGTACCAGGGGATCCAGATATCTTTCAGTTTAGTTTCCTCCAAAGCTTAGTAGCCATGACCCCATATAGCATTCTGTACCCCTGCCAAGAAGTCTTGCACACCCCAAGCAGTTTGGTGGGGGAGGGGGAAGGACTTTTGCCAGCCTGCCTTGGAACTGGCTCTGTGGTCCCAGTCTTGGTGATTCGTCTCCCTCATCTAATATCAACTTCTTAGGCTCTGGGTGATGTCAGCAAGCCATGAGGTATCAATCAGATACCCGTGGCTCTGTAGACACAGCTTCGTTCATTGGGGTGCACCGGAAAGACAGCAAAAGAAACGGAAACACCACCAGCTAAGAGAGCCTATACCCTAGGTGTCTCTTTCCCCTTAGACATCAACCAATTAAGAAGAAATAGTGCAAATGGAGGAAAAGAAAAGCCATGGACAGGTGGGGAGGGAGGGAGGAGGAGCAGACTGTGAGAAATTAAAAAGCAATTACTCTGAAAAGAATAAAACAGTCATTTAATTTCCGCTACCAATCTCCTTTGCCCCATCATGTGACTAGTTATGGTCACAAAAGAGGGGGCCAGGGAAGGGACCCAGGACTGGCTGAGCCTTGCTTTTGGTAGCTGAGGTAAGAAGTGAAACAAGCAACTGACACCTTCCCCAGGCTGTCTTTCAGGATTTCTCCT